TAATAGCTACTTTTTCGCACACTTCTCAAATTCATTGAACGTGCCAGTGGTGGAGATTTTAAGGTATCGTAAGGGTTTTTCCCCCCTAACTTTTACGCCACTGGAAAAACCCTTACGATACCTTAAAATCTCCACCACTGGCACGTCCAATGAATTCGAGAAGGGTGCGAAAAAGTAGCTATTAATAGTGGTAATGTGTGTACAAAAGCTCAGTCCTGTAGTTCAAACGATTCCTAAGATATTGGCGAAAAACTAAAAAAAATTAAAGTTTTGACACCGTGTATCTCGAAAACGAAAGCCCGGAGAGAAAAATGGAAGAGGAAAAATATGTTTCTTTTTTCAGGAGGAATTTACAGTTTTCCGTTGCGACACTTATTTAGGAACACCCTGTATTTGCTATACATAATAATTATATTTTGCATAGTTTATTCACAATACATTTTTGAACGCGTACACATCTCTACCAAAATTTGACCTATTCTTCGGGTTAAAGTCACACATTATCCGCTCTCTAATAATTATAAAATTGACAATTTCTCAGATACACTCAAGAATAGATACATACACACACACAGTTGTTTGTTTTTTATAAAGCTGCTTTACAAAAATAATTATTGATTGTTAATATTTCACTTTTAACAGTTTCTGTTTAGATTACCGTTTTCTGGGCCAGTAAATAAAAGTTTTAATACTTCTGACCATATTGTTTGGTAACATAAAGTTGAAACCGTTGTCCAGTAAATGTCATTGTGATTTCATGCTTACTAATTTTCGACTTCTTGCTCTAACTTCCTGTCTCGTATTTGTATATTCGAACCATAAAACATTTGGAATTAGAGTTGTATCCCTCAGTAAAAGTATCTCAGAGATTTTCCTGAAAAATATAAAACAAATATTTTCAGCCGAAGTTAATTTTGATTGACAATTAATTTTGAGAACAGAAAATAAAATATACATTGTTTTCTTAACTCCAATGAATATTTTTATGATCATTATATAAAGAAATAAACTTGAGAGTTATACTCTCAGAGTGCCCATTTTGATTTATTTAAACATTTCCCTTATCTTCTCCTATATATAGACTTTTCCCAAATTGTTTGTAGTCCAGACGGTATCTGTTTCAAAGAGTCCATATTTGGGTGAATCATATATCCACGAAGATTTTTGGCTTTTTGGCTTTCAAATATCACTAGAAATGAAAATTTTTCTATGCGCATAAAAAAAAACATGGGCTTAACTTTTGGCGGCACAATATCTTAAAAAAATTCGAAAAATGTCATATTTTTCTTCCTAACAAGGCATTTTTTTAACATATTGTGCCGCCAAAAGTTAAGCCCACGTTTTTTTTATGCGCATAGAAAAATTTTCATTCCTAGTGATATTTCAAAGCCAAAAAGCCAAAAATCTCCGTGGATATACGTTTCACCCAAATCAAAACAGATACCGCCTAGTCTATTGACAAATTCACTCATTTTTTGGGTTATATAGGGTGTCCCGAAATTAGGGGGCGATATTTCTACAAGGTATTACTTAAAGAAACCACTCTGGTGATGGTTTTTTCTAAATAACTCCGAAACGAGTTGAGATAAATTTATGAAATTTGCTAACTCTTACGGGCTTAGTCCGCTACTAAAACGAAATTGACAAATTTTCATCATATACGTTCTAACACTGGGATGGAGGGGGGTAGGGGTACAATTTACCATAACTTTTTTATGCTTTCACTTTTTTGACTTTTGACTGGAAAGTATGAATTTTTAGTAAAAAAAGGTACTCTTGGTTCTGATTAGTAGAATGTTCCATTTTTGTGTAAAATCCATTTAAAAATAATGTTACATGTGTTAATCACCGACAATCGAAATTGCCAATTTTTTATCGTCGCAGGTTTTGAATAACAAAAATGCGTTTGGCCTCGTTCGCATGACAGTTCACTTATTTATTTTTTGTGAATTGTTATCAGTCAAAAATGCAACATTTTACGAATGTAGAGCTAGCAGATATTCATAATACCCATTTCTAGTTAGACGAAAATTTACGGGCAATAAGGCGCACAAATTTTCAAAATAGATAATAGCCATATCCGGTCAGACCAAAATCCCCAGGCAATACGGCGCACAAATTTTCAAAATAAATTGGCAATAAATGTGTGGACAGGAATTTTTGGGGGACCAGCTACTTGGACCAATTCAGTTTCTCGTTTGTCTGAATGCAGAAGGATACTTAAACTTTCTGCAAAATGATGTGAGAGAACTATTGGATGCTACACCGTTAAATGTACGATTAACGTTACACTATCAACAAGATACCCATAATATTATAAATTCGTTAAACGATCATTTTCCCGGAAGGTGGATAGGTAGAGGTGGCACGATTCCATGGCCACCTCGATCTCTAGACCTAAATCCCCTTTCTGTGGGCAGGACGAAGGCTGTAGTTTACGCTACAGAAATTAATCCTTTGGAATAATTACAGCAGAGGATTCATTTGGCTGCGAATAAAACTAGACAAAATAATTTTGAAGTTTTGAGGTCTTCGCGGGCAATTTGACGTCGAGCTGAAAAATGTATTCAGCAAAATGGAAATCTTTTTGAGCATTTGCTGTAAAAATTACTATTGATATAAAGATAAATTTTATTATTAGTGTGGTTTTCAATTATTTTTACTTTTATTTTTTTAACTTTGTCAAATAATAATTTACTAAAAATAGTAAATTTCTCTGAAAATAACAATTCGCAAAAAGTAAATAACTGTAAATAACAATGCAAATGACGCCAAACGCGTTTTTGTTCTTCACAACCCTCTATGATAGAAAATATTGACAATTTCGATTGCCGGTAATTAACACATGTAACATTATTTTTACACAAAAATAGAACATTCTACCAATATGGGCCAAGAGTACCTTTTTTACCAAAAAACTGAAATTTCATACTTTTCAGTCAAAAGTAAAAAAAGTCAAAGCACAAAAAAAGTTATGGTAAATTTTACGCCCCTCCCTGTTGTGACGTATGTGACGAAAACTTGTAAATTTCGTTTTAGTAACGGACTGACCACGTAAGAGTTAAGCTAGTTGTCAAATTTCATAAATTTATCTCAACTTGTTTATTTAGAAAAAACTATCATCAGGGTGGCTATAACTTCATTAGGACGAATTTTTGGACCCACATTTATATAAAGAAAAGTAATCTTTTTCGACGGAGAACACCCTGTAGAAATATTGCCCCCTAATTTCGGGACACCCTGTATAAAACTGACTATAGCTTTGTTCCTTTGTTTGCATGCGCGACTGTTGGAAACTGTTTTGGATGCTCTGGGAACAAAGCTAATATCTGTTTCCCAGGTGTGTGAAAACTCTTAAGTCAAATTCGTGAGATACATATCAAAATCAAAGAAAAATACTAGCGTGCCACTCTAATTTAGAAGATATGTTTCAAATAACTTTACATGGCTTTAATCACAATCAGATCAATATAAAAATAAACTTTTTGTTTGAAAAATATATAAATTTTATTATTACCTCTCACATGTTTGGTTTGGTAGGTACCTACCTATTAAGCTAATTAAAAAAATTATAAAATGACTGTGAGGTTGAATATCTGTTGCATACCTAGATGTCTGGTGTTGAAGAACATTATTTGTCATTTTATAAAAATTTTAATTACAAAAAATATATTTTCAATTCAATCAAATCATAATTATATGATAATTAAATTCTCAGGTAATTTTAATTCATTCTTAGAAATCTTAGAAATTAATATAACCGAAAACTACTCTAAAAATTGTATTTTACAAATTAAAAGGTTATATAATTATAGGAAATACGTTTTTATGTATTTTAAGAAAATTCCTCTATTACAAGTTTTCGATTTCAGGGTTAATCCTTATAAAACAGGATAAAGAAGGACCAGAAGCGAAAGTCAAGGTGGTTTTTTTGACGTTGGTTGGTCAAAAATATTTGGCTTTGAATTTTGAATTTGACCTATTTGTCACTTACTACACTGATAGGTTACAATCGTTGCAAATACTATCAACGAAAAAAAAGTAGTTTCTACAAAATATTGATTGAAGAAGTAGAAATATCTACTTCACTATAATACTCAATTGATTAACTATTTCTAGAATAAAGAAAGAATAAACAAGCACAAGAATAGTGATTGCTTGCTAGTGGTTGCTTAATAGTGGTGTCAGACTGCATGCAGACAGGAATGGAGTTTTAGCGCGAGTCGTTTCTTTCACTTCTAGTCGTTCTTTATTGTGAGTTTCTGATTACAATGAGAAGTAGTAGAATGTATATTTTGCAAATGATTATGTCTACCAATTCAGAACCAACTTGTATACATATGTTACACCATAAGTGGTTGTCCTTGAAAAATAACTCAAATATTCATTAAATAACTAATTTTTATCAGATTTCTATTTCAAATCACCCAACAAATTTCCAACGTTAAATGAAAATATCTTAATAGTCTCATTCCAATATAATATATTGAAAAATGAAGTGTTGAACAAAACATAAATGAACTCTGATCAGTATATTTATTAGAAGACAACAAATAGTCCGAGCGCATAAAAGTTTTTTTTCAAAAATCAGACCTAACTCGAATTTTATGAGGTTAAAATTAATTAATAAATTATGCCTCTAATAAATCAAACCTAACATGATTAGTTTTCGAAATATTTGAAAAAAAAAGAAGAACACTTTCTCATGGACACTTTTGCGTTTCGTCTCTCCAGGACCATCATCAACTTCATTTTTTTAAATACGACCCCAGAAATTTTTATTACATTTTTTGCAAGCCTTCATGACCCCCAATACTGTAGTGCGTCAGCCCGAACCAGATTCAGACGTTTTGTCTCAAAAAATTCATCTTCAGTGTATTCGTTCCAAATTTATATAAATTTTTTATTTAGATTTCTTTATTTATTAAATTATCGTACACTATAAGTGTCGTTAGACCCTGTGAAATCCATCTAGTTATTTAAACTATTACCACCACGTGATACAATAAAACATTTATTGTTATTAATATAATCAATAAGTTATTCCGTCAAAATTAAAACATTACAATTTTAATTTTATTATGAAAAATTATATCTCAAAAATGCATATGAACAACCAAAACAACCAACTGAATATTATTCTTTAAAAAATTTCATTAAATGTTCAAAAACATTTTCATTTTGACAAAGGTTAAAAATGAAGATCAGCGTAATATTATTATATCTGTAACCCCATCCCAACTGCGAAAGAGCATGTCAGATGTATTTGTCTGAATATCCTTAAAAAAATAGATCGGAATTTGTTTGAATTTTGAGCACTCGAGTAGCCTAGAAATAACTATGGATACGGGAATAAAACTCTAATATTTTTTTATTTTAGTGCATGGTGGTAATAGTTTAAATAACTAGATGGATTTCACAGGGTCTAACACTTACAGTGTACGATAATTCAACAAACAAAGAAATCTAAATAAAAAACTTAGATAAATTTGGAACGAATACACTGAAGATGAATTTTTCGAGACAAAACATCTGAATCTGATTCGGGCTGAGGCAATACAGTATTGGGGGCATGAATGCTAGCAAAAAATGTAATAAAATTTCTAGGGTCGTATTTAAAAAAATGAAGTTAATGATGGTCCTGGAGAGACGAAACGTTACATATAAAAATTGATTATGCCATTCGATAGAGGGCAAAAAGTGGCCATGAGAAAGAGTTCTTCTTTTTTCGATATCACCTCAAACAAGGCTGAAATTAAACAAAAACGGATTTCCAAAATTTCGTTTTTGAGAGGCATAATGTTGGTCCTCTGATTACGCAAATTTGCATCCATTTAAGCTAATTTGTATCTCTTACCGTTTCCGAGATCCCTG